CTACTGCAAAGCCGAAGCTGGGGGCAAGTCTCAGATCTCCGTCAAGTATCAGCTGCTCTACGTGGAGGGTAAGTCAGTCTACCTCCCCCCCCCCCCCCGACCGAGATCGGTGCTTCCTGCTGGTTGGGAGGAAAATACAAAGACATAGGATGGTGTTCTACAGGCTTCTCTATGGCATTTCTAGAGCATTCGTCTCCCTTGACCCATCCCCACTGTCCCTCACTCCAGATCCTTCCCACCTCTGTATTTGATTGGCAAGTCCCTTGGGTCCCCAGTCTCCCCTTAGGACTCATCAACCTTTCTGTCTTAACCAAGTATCTCCTAGCATCATCATCCACTTCCCACCTTGAGGATGGCATCCTGTTTGTGCCCAGTTCTACTTCCGTCCCTTGTTCTGTCACTCTCTGAGGGACCTCTGCTCCTCCACTGTGCTGGCTCTGGTTCCACTGGCTTTCTCATTCTCTTCCCTGTCACTCCCTGCCATTCCTTTAACATCTGTCTTTCTTGCCATTGCATTTTCAGGGTGACATCAGTGTATACTTGAAGTCTTTGGCCTGTTCACTAGACACCTCCATTCCACTCTATCAGTCGTACCAGGAACACGTAGACAGCCACAACTGGTTGGATGTAGGGATTATAAGGTCTCATCCTCAGCTCCCCCAGCTCCCAACACAGGCTCTCCTCTCCTCCTTCAGCCTACCACTCTCACACCTGTTCCAAGGCTTTTCTGATGGCACAGGGGTGGGCTAATGAGCAGATCTTCTGCACAGCCATATAACACTGCCCTTCCATAACTTCCTGCAGAGAGTGCCCCACTCTGTTCCCCAAAATGGAAGAAAGGGGGTGATTCCTCTTGAACTGTGATTCCTCTGATACAGAGGCTTACATTACTTAACCAATTTCTATTAATATACTATATGTTGCCACGTGGCCGTGGCATTGCTGGTTTGTGGGCATCTTGTCATCTTGTTGCTCCTTGGGCATCGGACTGGTATCCCCTCATCCACCTGCCCTGACTCCACCCTTCACCTTGTCTTCAGTTCAAATGTACTTATCCTGCTCTGCCATAGGCCAATGCAGCTTTATTTATCAACCAATCAGAGCAACACATATTCACAGCATACAGAAAGACATCTCACAGCATGGGAGTATCTAAGGTGACCTCCTTTCTTTGCTCTCTTTGTGGAACGGCTCATCTCTACCCATAGCTGTGCACTAACAATTTATTTCCTAAATGGGCATTTGTGCTCCAGGTCTATGAGGTAAGAACCATGTGTCCAAGTAGCATCTGTACTCGGATGATCCAGAGGACCCTCAACATCCCAATCCATGCCCATCAGTGGGCTCAACATGACCCTGTAGGCATGGTTCATCCGTGCCCTCCACCTCAGAGAGAGTTGTTCATTCGCCTAGTGTGAATGGCCACAACAGAAGTCTAGCCTGTCCTCCTCTTACCCTTCATTACAGCCCTTTCAGATCTTCCTGTTTTTATCCCTGTTCCAATGACTCAAACGATCATCTCTGGCCAGTAATAAGAATACCTTTCTCCCATATGCCCACCTTGTTTTCCAATCCGTTTTCTGTACGGTTGCTGACTACAGTTTCAATCCATACATTTAGCAAGTTCTTACCTATAGAGACACAAAGTCTGATGGACCTCGCATGGCTGGCTTCACAGCTCTGGCCACCTTGTCTTACCTCACAGACTGCTCAGGAATGCTCCTACCTCTGTCTTTTAAGCTCAGTGCTGGGACTTCAGTTCAACCACCTGCCTGCCTCTGTCTAGGCTAGCTTGCAGCTCACTCTGGGCTGTTCTCTTCAATGAAGCGTTACTGTTGTCCACATGGCATCTGCACATTCTCCTGGGGTGTAAGCTCTAAGAGCTCAGTCCATCTGTCTGGCTTGCTCCTGTGGTCCTAGGTCCTAGCATATCTCCTTGCTTAAGGCTGCCATGAAAATTACTCCTTTCGTGGCCACCATAAAGTTTCTGAGATGTTATAAGGATCTTGCCAACACAGGTAGCACCTGACTATCCTGCAAATATGTCTCATGGGGATATTTGGGACTCTTCAGAGGATGGGTGTCACATACCTGTTTGCCCGCCTTCACTTACCCTTTCCACAAGTATTGTTCCCCCCCACACACACCCTTTATATCTTTCACATGACCCTGGTCAACTTGTTAGCTCCTTCCCCAGCCACAAGCATGGGGCTGGGGAGCTTGGATTCTGGATGACTACCCCTCTTCTGGACTACCAAGGTAGAGAGAGGCAGAGGTAGCTTCTAAAGCAATCTTAGGGGGTGTATGCTAGTGTTGGCCCCCCTGAAGCCATAGAAAAGGCAGGTTTCCTCTCTTCAAAGAGTGTATGCTTTTCTTGAACATCAGAGTTATGGATCGCATGATTCTTTCTTCTTGCTTGCTTCCAGTTCCCAGTGGTCCTCCATCAACCACCATCTTGGCCTCCTCCAACAAAGTGAACGGTGGAGATGACATCAGTGTGCTCTGCACTGTCCTAGGGGAGCCTGATGTTGAGGTGGAATTCAGGTGGATCTTTCCTGGGCAGAAGGTAAGTGCCACCCCCCAGCCTCAGCCAGCACCTTTAGTTTCCATCACTTGGTGAGAGACCGTGCTTTAAGTGAACGGCTTAGGACTAGGCGGGAGCCAGGGAATGTTTGCCTAAGATGTTCCAGTCTGCTAAAAATATACTGTTTTCCAGAAAAAGAGAAAAAAAGGGGATGACTCTATTTGGTAATTCATTCAAGATGCCTTTTGACGTGTAATTTTTCATTGCTCTTAGATAGTGGCATGAAAGGGGCAGACTACTTCTGAACGTCACTCTCATCATCTAGGTCCACTTTGGGCTACTCTACCCCCCTCCAGGAATCCTTCACACTGCATGAAGCTTCAGAGCCATGGGTGGGAGAAAGGGAAGCAACAGCGGGCGATGAATCCTCACACGAGGCCTGTGAAATCGGCGAGCAGACAGTCTCCGAGTGGGCATATAAACATAGGCCCCATTTACAAGGTGCAGTGAGGTCAGCACCACTTAAAAATAGACTTCTATAAAAGAAAGGGTGGTGTCCTCAGCCTCGGTGCAGGTTTGGCTCACTGAGAAAGTGGCTACCAACTTTGTTGCCAGAGAGATGTCGTCTCCCAAGATACACTAGGTAGCCAATGCTCTGCGCTAAGCCTGTGAGGAATGGAAAATAATGGTCCCCAGAGACTACAACCTGATGCTAGGTTGTTTCTTTTTTAAATACATTGTCACACTTAGACATTCTTTTCAATTGAATGACCTTTTATGTTGCTGTTATTTTATTATGAGGAAAACTGTTAAGTTGGTAATCTTATGATTATCTTTATTGAGTGAATTTAGAAAACACTGTTCTTATATCACTGTAGCTGCCTGAAATGGATCTTAAAGGTGACACTCTTCTAGAATAGGCATTCATGTTGTCTAGAGCAGCATGATCTTACCTTTCCTTGTTACAGCTTGCCTCCCTCTGTAGTCTCAAGGAACACTAGCCAAATCGCGTTCCTGCCTCTCCCAAATCAGAGGCACAGGGAGTTCTTCTGTACCTGCACAGCCAGTGCTTTGGGCTTTTGACCTTAAATTCCACGAATAAGAACACTTGGCAGTGACAGTTGGCAATGTGATGACACAATGAAAAAAAATTCTGCCTATGTATTTATGCTTAAGACCTCTTCCCCTTAGAGGCCCCAAATAATCCATTTCACATCTCTAAAGAGCAGAAAGAAATCACGGAACAGCATCCTGAAATTCAAGACCCCACTTGGAGAGAAAAAAAATGCAGCCTTGAACGAGTATACAGTTTTAAAAAAGAAAAAGCCAATAAGCTCAGCATACAAACTAGTCTTCAGTGAGCATGTGCTTTGTATTTGAGAATGGGTTGGGTGGATGGGAGCAGAGTAAAGCAGCTTGTCCCTCTGGCTTCAGTCTGTGTACCATCTTTAAACAGGACGAAAGGCCTGTGACCATTCAAGACACCTGGAGACTGATCCACAGAGGACTGGGGCACACCACAAGAATCTCCCAGAGTGTCATTACCATTGAAGACTTTGAGACCATTGATGCAGGCTATTACATATGCACGGCTCAGAATCTCCGAGGGCAGACTACAGTAGCTACCACTGTTGAGTTTTCCTGACTTGGAAAGTGAAGTATAATGAACCGATGGGGAAGCCATCTGTATACACAACATTTGAGATGAGTGCTTTGTGGGAGGCCAATACCAAGGGCCAACCTGTGGGTCAGACATCCAAATTAAAAGGAAGTCAGTCTATTAATAGAAGTGTTAACTTTGTATTTTGATTACTTACAGCCATGTTTCTAATTTTTATACCAAGAAAACATGTCAACAACTTTGTATAATCATTTCTATTAAATGAGCAAGATTTTATAAAAAAAAAAAAAAAAAAAGATGAGCTGTTTGTTGTGCATCCAGAAGGTCCTGACAGCAATTTGTGTTACTACCTTGTATTGTTTGAACCAAGTTCAACTGCTTCCTCACAAGCAACAACTCGAGATTCAAATGCTTAGATATGTCACTTTATCAAAGCTAATACGAGTTAATTTATAAAGGTATCAAAAATCACATTTTTACATGAAATTGCCACACCGAAAGTACTAATTTTTAAATTCCTTAAACAATTTAGCCTTTCACACAACAGAGATGAACAGGTTAAGAAAGATTCAACTTTAGCTAGACCTGTCTTCAGAAGTACTTAAGACCACAGCTGTTCCAATTTTCTTTTGCCATACAGTAGGAGTTATTTAAACTAACCAAAATTCAGTATTTGAATTTGGAAAAGCTTAACCTTGAACTCAAGCTCTGCAAACCCATTTCAGCCCACAACAAATTTACAGGGTTGGGAGTTCTGTAAAATAGCATGGGGAACTGTCTTAACTAATGAGAAGAGTGTATAGAACATAACCTAATGCTTTCAAGAGTGAAGTATGCCAGAGGCTGCCATTCTCATTGAATATTTCAGCATTATTTATTTGATCAAAGTAAAATACACTTTCCATCACTATAAGCTACAGATTTTCACACATCCACATTTCTTTTATGATGTGTCAAGTTTTGTGTCCTACGAAAAACATTGTTTAAAAACAAAACGTAAAAGCTGTTTTGTTTCCTATTTTCTCTCTTGTCTTCTAACCTCTGAAAGGTATTTTTAACTGCTGTAATATTGACTTTCCAGACACCTAAATGGTATGGAGGAGGACAGGGAATCGCATGAACTTTGACTGTAACTACAGCAAAAAAAGATAAACCCAACTCTGGCTAACGTCATTGGGCACAACTTGGGACTGGGTGCAGAGAGATTCCAGGAGGTGGCAGTGAAGCTACATTCTATTTATCAGAAGCAAACATGGAAGGCTACATACATCATAAACTATTGGAGATTAGAGACTTCATTCAACACAACCATTAATAAAAAGCATGCGGCATGAATATCCATGAGCTATGCAGTGTACAGGCCCATGATGACTCTAATATCCACCTCTAGTATTGAGTCTGTCCTAACTCTAGGGTTAATAAATACTGACATCACAATGCTGACAAAACCTGGGAAGTGGGGTGAGCAGCCACAGCGATCCTTCTACCTTTCACCAAGTCTTAGTCTGGGGAGGGGGTAAATGAAATTTTGGGAAGGAATTCAAATGCACTGTGAAGGAATTGCATAAGCCACATTTCCCACTCTTTGGTCGACCTTTCTGATACATTCCAATGACAGGAGGACCGCCCAAAGGGGCCCTCAAGTCAGCATTACCGCTCAGACTCTTGATCTATTAAACAGGAAGTGTTGGTTTCACGAGGTGCTTCTGGCCGTTAGTACATGCTGAAGGCCATCTTTACTGACTTCCCTAAGGGATTTCCAAAATTTGTACTCTCCGATCCGGATGGTAGCTTATTGGATCAGCACCTCAAAGAAGCTGGGTCCGGAAAAGCACTCTGTATTGGGGAAAGAGGTAGAAGGCTTGCGTCTGTGGCCCTAGGTGGAGGAAGGAAAGGTGGACGCAGATAATGGGGAGAGAAGATGAAGGTTTACCTCTGAAGAGAGCTTAGATTCAAGGTGAAAATAAGGCAGAAACCACCATGGGTACTGCCCCCTTCTTCTTTATACAGGTGTATGTTTAGAAAAATTAGCTCGTAGCCTGAGAAAATGGATCGGAGTATAGTAGTTGGGCTCATAAAAATCTATAGGGAAAAAAAAATCAAACTGGTTTCAACTGACAAAACTGAACACTAAAAAGCTAACAGAAATGTACAGACATCAGCAAACCAAAAGGCTTTTCCTGTCATACCCAAGCCCTGCCGTGTCAGTGCTTTCTCTTCTATGGCTTTTGTTGACACGTGTACAGCGATCACAACTTGATTGATACAGGACCAGCCATCGTCAGCCGCTGACTTTTAATACACAGCAGAGAGGACTGTGACAGTCACGTGACACACCAGCACACCCATTTCGATCACACATACCTCCGCCCACAGTCAGACTGGGGAAAAAAAAAAAAAATCACAAGAAGGTGTCTCTGGTGAAGAGTATTATAAAGGTTATAAATCTTTATCTTAACAGGCCCCTGAGAGTTTTCCCCTTATGCTTAGGTGAAGGAAGGCAAAAGAACAAGGTTCTCTCGTCCTTAAGTGCTTTGTGCAACTACGTCCACATCAATTCCAAAAAAAATCTATTTTTGGAGGAGGCTTTTGGACCAAGTTAAAAAGTCATCCTCCGGAGCTCCCGGACTCGTAAGTAGCCGATAGGGTGGTGGCTGCTTTCCAGTTATCCTGTGGAAATTCCAGAAAGCGAATTCAGCTCTTCTTCCCACGAGAGGGTCAGTCCTGCAGAACCGCACCTCGGCGCCTTCAGAGACTCTCCCGCGTTCAGGAAGCGTCATCTGGGTGAGATGCTGGGGCTGGAGAAGGACCCAGAATTCCTGGGGGACTGGAAAGGGATGGCCGAGGACGTGGGGGATCTCTTGGGGCTGCACAGGTCCCCACTGTGCAGCTTCCACAGCAGCTCCTCGTTCTCCATGGATAGTCTCTTGTTGACCTTTGACTCCCTCTCCAGGGACTCCTGCAGGGCTGCCTGCTCCGTGGAAAGTTGCCTGGAAAATAAAAACCCAAAGACCATGTGGAATCCAAGTCAAAAAACAACTCTTCCAGTTTAAACACAAAGGTGCAAGAAACCTACTCTGGGAGAATAGGCTCTTGCCTGGGGTCATAGATTTTTTTTTTTTAAAGCCAAGAAACCCAAATACTGCAGGGAAGCAAATAGGTGGGTGGTAGAGAGCCTGCCTAATGTGTGTGAGGTCCCTGGCTCAGGTCTATGCACTACAAAAAGGAAAATAAAAACTCCCAAATACCAGAAGCGTAAGCCTGACCCAAATAAATAATCCTATTACTAATAACTGGCAGCTCTAGTTTTTGAGCAATTTCCCAGAAGGCAGTGGGGCACTTGCACAAGGCTTTGGCTTGTTTCATTCCTGTTAACACAAGGGCTGTTTTCTGTTCACATTTGTGATCGCTCCCTCTCTGAAACCCATCACTACGGGTTTGTGAGCTCCAGGTTGGGGAGACGGTCTAGGCCACTTTGGTAGAAGCTAAATTGCTACTTTCAGAGGGAAACCAGTGCCTCTCTATCTGCTTCACTCGATGCCCGGGAGGTAGCCAGTAAAGCGTGTCCAGAAGGGAACAGCTGATGCTTGAGCATGAGAGAAGGGAAGATAGACTCTTGTAGTTTTACCTCGAAATTGCCATGTGTTTGTCCATTCGAGCTTTTAATTCCTCGTTTTCCTGCTGGAATCGCTTCAGTTTGTCAACCAATGCTGTATTGTTGTCCACCTTGGAGTAAACAAGGGTTAGAGTCATAAAACAAATGGATAAATAAATTCCCTCACTTCCTAAGGCATATTCCTGATCCAGGATGCTATCAAAAGACTGAGTAAGGGGAACCGTAGTGGCGAGCTGACGTGTGAAGAGGTCGTGCAGCAAGGCTCGGTAGCACATCAGAAGAAATAACAACAGGAAACCTCCCTGCACGGGTTGAGGGACCTACTGGTCTCCCAACCTTCACTCTCACAAACTGATCAGTTGAGAGATTAAAGGGTAAGACCCACAAAGGCATTTAATCACTGAACATAGTGGCCAGCTAATTCCATCCCCACTCACTGTCCTAAGGTATGGTTTATTACTTGTTTGGGAGGTGACATCACAGCTCAAAATAAACTTGGGGCCAAAATTAACCCCAAGTCCCTGCTATGGCAGCCTACTATGGCTCATTGGCTTGGATTACAGTGTCTAGGTGTTTTTAAGACATCCTCATGTTCAGAAAACATTCACGACAAGCTAGTCAGATGAAATAACTTTCTAGAAAAACATCTACAGAATAAAGAAGGGGGTGGGTTGGAGGGAGAGGAAACCTTGAAACGCTTAGAATAAATCATTCAAGATAAAACCACAAACTGGGATAGCTTGGAATTAAAAACAGTAGCAACTGGCTTTAAAATGCTCTACCAACACTTTGTTTTATAGAGGTAAAAACTCAACCGTTGCTGTCACCGAGCAAACTGCTGGCAGAGCTGGCTCTCAAAGCAAAGCTTGCTTTCCTAGGCAGTGTCCTCACGCTAAGTGCGATGGTTAGTTTGCCCACTTGACACCACCTAGAATTATCTGGGAAGAAAGCCTCGATGAATGACAGTCTACATTAGGCTCGCCTGTGGGCATGCCTCTGGGGTATCAGCTTGATTGCCTAAATGTGGGCAGCAGCACCATCTGGTAGTGGCTCAGACCCAAGGACAAGCTGCTTTCTCCTTTTTTTTTTTTTTCTTTTTCTTGCTTGGCCCTCATTCATGCTGGGAGTTTATCTACTCTATTGCTGCTGCTGATTCTCTCTCTGATATTAGAGTCAGCTTCTTCAGGCGTCCTGCTGATTCTATCTCTGACATTAGAGTCAGTCAGCTTCTTCAGGCGTCCAGTGCGGACTGATGATCAAAGGCTCTCCAGGAGCCTTTGGCACCAAGAGGGAACTGCAGAGGAGGCACCCAGCCTTGTGGGTTGAACAATTCCCAGGTTCTCAGGCTCTCCAGCAGCCACTGCTGGACTACTCTGAGCTCATCGTGTAAGCCAGGCCAGCAAATTCTCCTTTAATGTGTATTGCATCAGCTCTGTTCCTTTAGAGGACCCTGATACACTAAGTGTTTTAACTTCATTAAAGGCCTGGAAACTCCTAAGCACACGACATGGCAGTGGCACTGAGTGTACCCATTGTCATAGCAAGCTGTCCTCCTGTATGAACAACAGGGTGACGCTGACTGATGCTGTTAGGATGCCTCCTGGTCGGGGCATAAAACAGAAATATCACGGCTCAATAGAAATTAAGATATGTTTGTACTTTTATAGCAGAGGATTTTTATCACCTGAGATCTTCTGATAAGTTCAGAAGCATGAACGGAAGATGGAGCAACAAATTATTAACAGGATGTCCTGAGTCACCGCTGCCAACCTGCTGAGCAGGTGTCACAGGGTGACCTTTGGCATGACTTGCTATGTGTGCTGGGTTGGGCCTATTAACAACTAAGAGTTTCTTGCATTCCTTAAAGAGAAAAAAAAAAACAACCACTTCCTGTACTTCTGGTACCTCCAATGATGGGCAGAGGTGAAGAGTCCCAGCTGTAAGTATCTGCTACCATTCTGACCTCTACATGATAGATGTATGTTCTCAAACTAGAACTGGGCTAGTTTGAGAACATACACCCCAGTCATGCCTGTGAAGCCACCCATCCCAGGGGCCCTGGAACCTACCGGCCTAGGCCTACCCATGCATCATCGTGGGAGTGAGACCCTTGTGATCCTTTGGTCCCAGCTGAGCCACAAGCTGACCACAGCAATGGGCCAAAGTCTCGGGTTTTAGAAGTCTGCTGCACAGTCAACACAAGGAAACTAAGGCACATTCATGTCTGACTGCTAAAAATGGATAGTTCCACCCACCCACCCCTTTGGCCACTACATATGTATTTATTGCACATGTTTCACTGTACACAGTAATGAGCTTCATAATGGCATTTTTCATGTAATTTGACCATATTTACTCTCTACTGCTCATTCCTGTCCCCCTTGCTAGGCCTCATGCTCTTCCAATATGGTCCCCCAACTCTCATGCCATATGTATATATGCTTATCATCTAGGCTCCACATATGAGAGAAAATGGTATTTGTCTTTCTCGGTCTGGCTTATTTCACTTAACAGGATCATTTCCAGTTCCATCAATTATTTCTGCAAACGGCATAATTTCATTCTTCATTATGGCCAATTAAAATGCCCTGGTGGATTAAAAAAAAAAAACAAAAAAAAAAAAAAACAAAGCCTTCCCCTGCTACCACCACATCTCCTGACAAGGTGAGGTGAGTGCCTGTAAGTTCACTTCAGCCTTACCTCCCTCGAAAAAAAAGTTCACTATCTCTAGGAAACAAAGCACCACACTGAGCCAAGTACCCAAACACTGAACAAACAAAAAGTCGGACAGACAAAAGTGCCCAGTGGGTCCCCTGTTCTCCAGGCTGGTCTAGGAATGAATGAGACATTTCTCCATGGAGTGGTAAGTCGCCCACAACTGAGTGGAGGGGAGAGAGAGGAAGCACTGGATGCAGGCTGGCAGCTGGGAGCAAGGCGGCGGCAGCCGCCAGGGTCATGTAAGCTGTTCTGACAAACCCTGCCAGCGTGGTTCCTGTCCTGGCTGGCACGGCCTGTGTTTCAGGGCCGGCCCAAGGCTGCCAGTACCCGCAGGGCACGCCCCTCAGACACAGGTGAGAAGGTTCAAATTCTGATGAGCCTGGTTCTCAACAACACTTGCAATTGTCCGATGGGGCTCAATCTTCTCAACACACAATGCTTTTTTTTTTTTAATCACCCTCTTAAAAAGATAAGGCATTCTACTAGATTATATTGTGCCAATGAGATTAATTAATATGTCCACTTGTCTCTCCTGTCCAGGGTGGGTGGTGCATTAAAATACCAAAAAATTAAAATTTTTAAAAAAAAATTAATGTTCACTAGGCCAGTGAAGATTCACAGACTATTGATTTGTGAACCTGGTTTGTGATAGCTTTTCCAAAACTAATTGCTGCTTCATATTGTCTTCCATTAAAAAAAAAATTAGTGTTCTAGAAGGCAGCAGTTAATCAACCTGTAATAGATCTGGAAGAGACAGGGCAACTCTGACGCTTTCTGTGCATTCCAAATACCATCAAGTACAAGTCAGCTCAGCTCCACAGTTCTAAAGCTATGAGCTGAGTTCCTAGATCCCAGGCAACACCCCGCGCCCCACATGGGAGGTGCTCAATCCACCATCCTGGAGGGGACTTACCAGCTTCTCCATCTTCATCAGCTTCACGTCCTGCTGATGCAGCTTCTCATTCTTGATCTCTAACACGGCTTTCAGGCTTTCCAGTTCTTGCTCCAGATACATGACCTGAGGGTTTTTCTGGAGAAAACACACCAAGATAACAGCTCTGATTTATTTCACATGTTACGCAGTCCAACCTCTTGGTATACAGAATCTCCGATTAGATTTATGCAAGCAGTGACTGACTTTTGCCTTTTTTTCTTTTTGGGACACAGGCAGGGTCATGCCATGAAGCCTAGACTGACTTGGTATTCACAGTAATCCTCCTGCCTCCACTTCCCACTGCTAGGATTACAAGTATACACTGCCATGTCTGCTAAATGTATGTTTCTTTTTCATTTTCGTCTTTTTTTGAGACAAGTTCTCATTCTATAGCCCAAGCTGAACTGGGACTCACACAGCACAGTCTGGCCTTTAATTTGTGGCCACCCTCTTGTCTCAGCCTCCCCAGTACCGGAATGACAGGGATGAGTCACCATGCCTGGCTTAAGCAGTTTCAAAGAAATAAAAAAGAAGAGTTAAGACCATTTTGACCTAGAAGACTTTGGTCATAATATCGACAACAAACATTTTACTTTTTCCTTAGTCATTTAATAGGGATAGATGCTGCTTTCGTCAAATCTCTTATTAGAAACAAGAAAACCGTTGCTTACAACATGAAAACAGAGCTCTGGATAGAGATGGGCCTCTCTCCAGTCCTAAATGGGGGTCTGGAGGGAGAAAAGGCAATTTCTCTAAGCAAAGTCAGTCTCTGAGGAGAAACACAGGCCAAGATAGTACACATGCAGGGCTTTGGGAAGTAGCATTCAGTGATAATGTCCTGAGTCTCTGGGCCTTCCTCATGGTTATGCTGGCCTGGCCATACCTCCAGGACAGCCATAACACTACCACAGAACATACACAGTCTCCCAAATGGACACTCAGGATACCACCAGTGTGGGGCAACCCCACCCCCACCCCTTGTTTAACTGATGAAAATTCAACTTAACATCTGACAATTTGATACAAATCAGCTATATCCAACCTATTGGCCAGATGTTAAATGAAAGTTTCTGAGGATTCAGTGGTTTAGGTGATCAAAACTACCTCCTGGGGCAGTAGCTTCCCTTCCGGAGGAATCCTGGGGAAGAATCAGAGATTTGATTTACTTTATCTCACTCTTCAAAGTCTTTACTTCACAAAAAGAAGAAATGTGTTCTATGGGTCAAATAATCTGCTTTGTAAAGGCCAGGAGAGGTCCCAGACCCAGAAGGGTCAAAACAGAGACCACACATGTATCTTCAATTCCAAGTTCTTCAAAAATAAAACTCCATGTGGTCCTTTTAAATATGGCTTTTGGGGACCTTAGATTAATCTCCTCACATGCATTTGAGGAAAATAGTATAATTTCCTGTCAACTTCTAAAAATTACTTTATTATGTGTATGAGTGCTTGGCTACATGTATGCATGTATGTTGTCCATCCATAAAAAGAAATGATATGGAGCCACATGCTGCCACATAGATGAACCAACAACATCAGGTTAAGTAAAGATAATTATGAAAGATCACGTATCACATGGTTATATGGGATGCTCAGAATAAGCGAATCCACGGATATGGAAAGCAGAATGTTGGTATACTCAGGGCAGCAGTCATTTGGGAATGGACAGTGATTGTTGATGAGTGAAGGTCTCTTTCAGGAAGATAAAAAACATTCTGGAATTAGGTACCAGTGACTAACACACAGTGTCACAAATATGCTATAATACTAAAGTTTATGGTCGTGTAATCATATCACAATAAGGCATATTTTTTTAACAAAAACTTTTCTAGTTTTAGATTTTTCTCAGTTTCCCGTAGGTAGTTGCTTAGACCTCTGGATTTGGATCTGTGTATCATTTGGGGAGTTGTTTAAAAAAAAAAATCAGTGAACAAAATCATTTTGTACAGTTCAAATAAAACACAGAAAGCACGAAGACGACTCTAAACCACAATTGTCTCTCTAGCCGCTAAAGAATTAATTGAGTTGAAATGGCAAGTGAGCAGAAGAAAATCCAGTATCAACAGAGGAACACACAACTTACTGAATTCGCCTTCTCTCTTGAAAGTCGCTTTTGTTCCTCCGATTTCAACTTTTCATTCAAAGCATCGTTTTCACTCTTCAGATCATTGATCTGTTTCTAAGACACAAACAGTAACACGTGGAGCATCAGATACCAGGAAAGGGTCAAAGGTCCATCCACAGAGGCCAAGTCCACACCATCTGACAGCCCCGGGAAGGAGGGCTCACCTCTAGTGACTCCTGCTTCTCATTAAGTAGATTCTCAAGCGACTTCTTTTCCATTTCATGGCTTTTCTTGATCTCTGGAAAGAAGAGGGCTTTGTTTTTGTGTTTTGTTAAGGTTGTATCACCCTATGAGATTACGACTCCACAACCTGATGTATAAATCTGTGCAAGCTGATGAAGTACAAATCACGTTCCTTTCCATTCATTAAGATGCAGTTCTATAAATTAAGCAATGTCTCCTCAGAACAACTTTACTAGGTAGGGCAGAGATCTCCGGTTCAATGACCAGAAACTCTGATGCCTACTAGAGGCCAAGAAAACCTTCACAATCTCAGAATGAAGGGTAGGGTCTCAAAAGACAGGTTTTTGATTTTTGGTCTAGGGGGGCAGGGGCTGTCTTCCTTTCGATTTGCTCTTCCAGAAGAAAACAGAAATCTAAAATTCAGCCCATTCCTAGCAGGAAGAAGACAATGTTCACTAACTGTGCATGTAAGCCAGCCACTTCCATCTGTCACTATCTCTGATTCCACACAGCTCCATCTCTTGAGAAGTCCCTCCCTAAATGTCGCACAGCCAGTACAACCATACATCTCCCTGCTACTCTGTGAGCTGCAGCTGGTTCATGGTGGACACACCCCATTGCACAGATGACTTTGTCCTGGAAAAAAAAAATGGCTTCTTGGTCCTTCCTTTTGACTTCAAGCTTTCCAGTGATGGTGGGGTCACAATAGCACATCTTGTCCTTGTCCATCAAATGCTCTGTACCGCACCACAGCAATGGTGTGCAACAGTGCTCAGACATGGATGCTTTACAGCACTATGCTAGCAACTGACACCCTGATCTTCCCAGGACCTAAAGTAGCAACTACCACTGACCACCAGCACCAAAACGGTCTTTACAATCTTTGGAAGTTCATCCTGTTTCCTAAAGGCCTGGCATGTATAATGAACCATTATTTGCATCCTTAAGGGGAAAGGGTACCCACTAACAATGAACAGTGCACAAAGAAGCCAAGAGGCCCACCAAGCGAATGCCGAAGGGTATTCTGTGCAAAGGACAGTTACGAATCACTTCCGTTTTAGTAAATACGATATATTTCCATGACATCTCTACTAAAGTGTCAAAAGGCACCCTTGCCTGAAATGGAGGTCTCATAGGTTTTCTTCAGCAATTCTACTTTTTCTGAGTGGCTTGCTTCGATCTCCAGCTTAGTGGTTTCATGGGCGGCGCTTAAGTTGTCAAACTGTGGGGAACAAACAGAAGGACAATTTACCAATAAAAACCAAAGTGCCGAGCTGAATCAAGGAGCGCACACAAGGGATTTCATTCATATGCTTCCATCCATCTAACGGGCATCTCACACATGTACCACTCTGGACCCGCCCCCGCCCACAGCTCCACTCCATCCACCCCAGGAACGAAGATGGTCCAAGCTCTGCGGGGTTTGCTAATGGTAATGCCCAAGTCCATCACAGGGACTGGAGCTGTGCTTCACAGGCTCCCCTCAGACCCACACCTGCCGCTCTACTCTCAGCCCCCAGCACACGCCTGGTGCATTGTAGGAACTAGGCATATAACTAAACAAAAAATGAAGCCAAATAGAGAACAGGGAAATTCAAAGTTTATAATACTGATGGGTTATTAAAAAAGCATTTTTTTAAAAAAAAATTACAAGCCAATGGTTCAGTAGGCAAACATCAAGATGTTTCCAAGGGGATTGTTTTGGAGATTTTTTTATATCCCTTCTTCAAAAGAGAATTTTTTTTTTAAAGGTACTACTAGGGATGGACCAGAACCTTGGACATGCTTTGCAAGGTCTTGCTGCATCTCTGAGCTCTGGCCCTCTTTTTATTTTGAGACAGGCTTACTAAATTGCCTCAACCTCTCCAGGTAGCTAGATGGGATTACACACTTTTTTTTTTCTTCACCCTGGGGACTGAATCCAGGAACGCATCACTTCGGTATCACCGAGGACATATTTGGCCCTGTTTTCAGGTTTTATTTCGAGCCAGGGACTCACTAAGTTACCCACGTTGAACTTTGAATTTTCTCTGCAGCCAAGGCAGGCCTTGATCCTTCTGCTTCAGCTTTCCAAGTGTTGGGATTACAGGTAGGTACCACTGTGCCCAGCCACTTCCCCCTTCTCGAACTCAACACTGTTTCATCATAAAAATCCCCAAAGCTTCCCCCAATTAAATTAAAAGGCAAGGGATAGCGCATTAAGAAACAGACAGCATCTAGAACTCAAGCAGCCAGCCATGCCCAGAGCGGCCCGGTGGGGCACAGACCTGCTCCTGCAGTTGGGTTTTATACTTTTCTGCCTCCTCGATGTAGATGTTCTGAAGCTTCTCACACTCCGCCGTGTAGAATTCCTTCAGCCGGTTCTCCAGTTCTGTCCGGTCTGTCTGGTGTTGCTGGTTTAGTTTCTGGACAAATCCTTCATATGCTGTTTGTAAGTCGTTCCTAGCCTTTTCTAGCTTCTCACAGGTGCTTGAAGCGGCAACTGAGAAGGACGTAAAAGGGACGAGCCTTTAAATTTGCTCAATGTCTGAAACGCACAGCATTTACCCACCATTGCATAGACACAACATCCCTTATCCTGTGATCAGCGCTGTAGTTCAAATAAGAAATGTCCATCAAAGGCCCGTGTTCTAGAGGCCCGCAGTGTCACTGGAAGGTGGTGGACCTTAGGTCAGTGGGGCACACCCCTGCCAGGGACATCGGGATGCTGTCCCTTCTTTACTTTCTTTTCCCAGCCATGAGGCAAACGGTTTCCTCAACCCTGTGTTCTCCCTGCCATGATGGCCGAAAAGAATGGAGTCAAGAGATTGTGGGCTGAGACCTTCAAAACTGTGAACCAAGATAAATCTTTTCTCTCTGTAATTTCACACACACACACACACACACACAATGCATTTTGATTACTGCTACCATTATCTTCCACCTCGGTAAGCCCCCTTCTTCCATACAGTGCCTGTCTTTTTACTGGGCTTATTTCACTTAGCGTGATGTCCTTCAGCTTGTGCCAGACTGCCTTCCCTTCAAGTTTGACTAAGACTCCACTGTGCGTGCGTACTACATACTGATCCATTGATGGCATTTAAGTTGTTTCCACCACCTGACCACACTGAACAATGCTGCCAGGAACACCAACAGCTGCATGAGTCCTGCTTGAATTTTCTTGGGTCTATATCTGGAAGAAGAATTGCTGTTTTATATGGCTAATTCCACTTTTAGTTATTAAGTGGCTTTGCAATGTAATGGGCAAGATTCCTTTTCTCCGTCTACTCACCAAAACATATTAAAGAAACAAAACAAAACTTGATACAAGGAGGGGGGGCGTATAGAAAGGTTTGTATGGAGGAAAGGGAAGGGGGAAATGATACAGTTATATTAATCTAATCTCACTTTTTTATTTTAAAGAAAATATATAGAATATTCACTTAATGCATGTGAGCGTGTGAGGTGGTACATTACAATTTTGATTTGCGCAATGGATTTTTAAGTAGAGTCACTCACAGATAACATTAACAAAATTCTACTATGAAGACTGAAAGCCTTACTCCCACAGGATCTGTATCTACACAGTGCCTTGGTTACTAAAAAATCCAAAGAGCCAACTGTGGTAGTGTGTGCTGCGGACCCGCCGTCCTAGCACCCAGGAGCCTGAAGCATGGAGGATCTCTAAGTTTGAGGCCAGCCTGGGCTACAGAGCAAAACTATCTCAAAGCAAACAAAACCATGGGCAGACAAAAATCAGAATCAAACCAATCCACAAAGCAGAAATGTTGGATGGAAGAGCCAAAATGGGGGATGGAAGCCAGATGGCAGGGGTCGTCACGGAAACCATTTGGGATTAAATACTGTAAAACACACTCTTCACACTTACATTCCAACAAGTAAAAATGGGAACGATGGAAGCCTTTCCATGAGGTCCCTTGTGTGCCTCACATTAGACCTTTATATGGAAAAAGTCTATAAAAGTGCTTTGTAGCCAATCAATGAAGAGATCAGTTTCTAGTGAGGGAAATTCTGTTTTTACAATTTCATACATCAGCAAATAACAAGCAAACCATGACCAAGCTCATCCAAGAACTCACACCAGATACAAAGCATCTTGCACACAATTGTCTTGGCACACGGGCGTCTCGGCACACATAGTACACAAGCATCTTGGTGAACCCCATCGCTCTAAAGGAGCCTGTATCTACTGTGGGTACACAGGGCTTTTATATGCTACACCTGCCAGAGTTTCACACATCTGCTTATAATCAGACTACTGTCAGTTTGAATACATAGTTACAGAATGTCGGTGTTTAAAATCAGATGGGATATACAGAAATCCTCTCCCATTAACCACCGGATAGGGCTGTTTGCTCTGTTTAAACACACAAGAACCAGTAGCCCAAACAGCGTGCAGCTTTGCTGGCTCCTGTGAGCTTGGTGAAGAGGCAACAGATGGGAGGGGAGAACCAGAAAGAGAGAGAGAGAAAGAGATCTGATGGGGGAGCGGATGGCTCAGTCCTGTTGCTTCCAACAACCAAAGGGCAGGACAGGCCCCAGAAGGTGACATCAGCCTGCAGCTGTGCAGGGGCCTTCTGCTGTTTACAGTGCTGTGTGCAACAGCTGGGCTACACTTCGCACTCACACAAATGGCTTTAGTTTAGATCAACAGCCTCGGCTCTTAGTGAAGCAGCGATTTGGTGGAGAATCCCCTGAATTCTTTTTTTAGAAGGATGCACATGTAAGCACTGTAGTAAGGGCTCTCAGAGTGCTCCTTGTCATCTGCTGGGATATAAGGTCCTCACCCAATTTTAGGCTATAGATTTTCCCTGGTTTCTCATAGCCTGGAGGGGTTCCAGAGTCACCTGTGCTGGCTCCTGCCTATCCTCAGGTCTGCCTTTCTCTTGCTCCTTTGCCAGAAGTCCATCTTTGCTTTCAGTTCATCTGACAACTAACAAAGCCAATACAAAAGCAGAAGACCCTCCAGGTTTAAGAGTGAGTGACCATGGAGTTTCCCCATACTGTCAAGAGTAGTTATTTTAAAAGAGTTACTACTTGAAGAGAAAAATTCACCCACCCACCCACCCCTATCCCCCCAGTCCCCAGACAGGGTCTCACCATGGAGCTCTGTTTGTCCTTGAACTCAAAGAGATCTGCCTGCCCCTGTCTCTGGAGTGCTGGGATTAAAGGTGTGCACTACTTACTACTCCCAGCTTAGAAAATCTACCATTTTGGGCCTTGTTTTTAAACATTCCATTAGCTGAGTTTTAAAAGCTTGTGCATGATTAAGCAAGCACACATTGAAGAGAGATGCTTGATGTACACTTGTAAATACATAAGCTTGCTAGCTTTAAAAGCTAGCCAAGCTAGCCCCAGCAATCTAGCTTAAGAAATTTAACTAGAGCAGGGCATGGTGGTGCATGGCTTTAATCCCCAGCACTTGGGAGTCAGAGGCAGGTGGATCTATGTGAATTAGAGGCCAGAATGGTCTATATAGTGAGTTCCAGGACAACCAGATTTACAGAGTGAGACCCTGTCTCAAAATATTTATATATGTATATGGTGGACACATGATAGCCTGTCATTCAGGAAGCTGTGGTAGGAGGAAAGGGCATTCAAGACTAGCCTGGGTTAAACGAGACGCTCAAAGCCAGCTTGGGCTGTACAACAAGAGCCTCTCCCTGCAAAACCATGGCCTACAGATGTAGCTCAGTGATAATGTTGTGTTTGTAGCATGCACAACTGCCTGGATTCAATCCTTAGCATCACAAGGAGATAAGAAAAAAAGCTTTTAGACATAAAAATAGAAAGGCATAGACTTTTCCAAAATTATCTCTAAAGTCTAAATCTGTGTTAAAGATAGAAGTTGGCACTTTTACTAAGAGATGCGTAAGCCCTGAGACTATTAGGCCAAGGCCAAAGCAGGAAAATCGAGGTACCCTGCCCCACCCTGCCTGTCTAAATCACAGCTATTTGAGCAAGGAAAAATCGCTGCACAAGAAACAATCATTTGGACGCCGTCTAGAAGAGGTACCACTGTGTGGTCAAGTCTGACCTTGGGAAAACAGAATCATACTAATCTCAGGCCCTTTGGCAGTTTCCCCTAGCAGAGAGGAAGTGAAGCCATACTTAATCAGTCCCCAGGGATTTCTGTAAGGGGGTGAGGGGGGCAGCTGGACTGATTATTTCCATCTCATGGAGACAGATTTCCCTTTGCTGACGGATGAATGTTGTTATGGAAGAAAACACTACACAGCCACGGCCTGACAATGTCAGTATTCTTGGAAATGATACAGAGCTGCCTTCTTTTTAATATATGAGTTGCACGCTTCTCATGGGGGACAACTAACAGTATCTTCCATGCTTGAGAACACAAGCACCTTCATAGAACAAAGCCAGAGTACCGGTTCCAATTCCGGCACTCCGGGTAGTTGCCTACCGTGTGGTTTGCAAAGGTCACTCACATTTTTCCTCACCTCTAAAATAGAGACAACACTGGTACTTTCCCTATGGAATTAAATATAACACGTGAGAAGTGCCTGGCCCTGTGCTCAACTGTTTAAATGTGTGATATATGTTCCTATTGTTATTACCAGCGGACTCAAACCTAATTATAGATTCCTTGGAGACACGCTAGAAGTTCAAAACAGAATATAATGGTTAGAGTTTATCTTCAGCACCAACCCTCCACACACACACACACACACGTTTAAAAACCATGATTTGTCTAGGATTAAAAATGATAAATATGAGGCAGAGCCAGGTGGATCTCTGTGAGTTCGAGGCCAGCCTGGGCTACCAAGTGAGTTCCAGGAAAAGGCACAAAGCTACACAGAGAAACCCTGTCTCGAAAAACCAAAAAAAAAAAAAAAAAAAAAAAAAAAAAAGATAAATATGAAGCTGGGCGGTGATGGCCCACACCTTTTTAATCCCAGCACTCGGGAGGCAGAGGCAGGCAACTCATCTCTGTGAGTTGACACCAGCCTGGTCTACAGAGTTCCAGGACAGCCATGGCTTTTACACAGAGAAGCCCTGTCTGGAAAAACTAAAAAACTATTAAAAAAAAAAAAAGTATATATATTATACACACACACACACACACACACAGCAGGTTGCTACTGGAGCCTGCTCCTCAAATCAGCCTACTACTATTGTCCTTATATTCTGGACACCAAACTTCCCTGGCTTTCAGGAGATTTGTTTCTTCTACAAACAGACCTAAAAACACAGTAAGAAGGAAGACAAGGGAAAGTATGGGAGGTAGGGCTCACATGGAAAGCCAGGCAGACTCTGGACCGTGTAAGAGACAGCAAACAGAAAAGGGCAAACAGGAAAAGGGAGGGCCCCTTTCTCCAGTTGTGTGGCTCTTTCCTGGGAGGCTTCTGGGGAGCCAGTTGTGTGCAGAACCCCTCCAGGGTTCCTCTCCTCTGAGTCACTTATGAGGGAAATAAAGGCGCTTGTGTCCAATGGGCCTCGCCTGCTTTGGGGCCTCCTCTCGAT